CTCATGACATGAACATGGATGTGTCAAGGACATCAACGCTCCAGACCCACAGGAACGGCACAGGGGAAGTGTCCCTTTAGGACTGCTACTGACCACTTCCTCCTCAGGAATGACTGCATCCGGGGGATGCTGTCTACAGAGACCCACCCTGACATTAGCTAACAGCTCTCCACCCCTTTCTGCCATCTGTATATAATAAGCACACTGAGTTTCAGATGCTGCAACTCCATCCGAGCCCATGGCCCACCCAATCCTAGCTTTCCTGTCTGTGTGTCTGTGTGTCTGCAGTTTCTCCATTCCCCATTGTCTGACTGAAGTCAGTCCTGTGGGAGTCAGGGATAGAGGCTGATGGCAGGGTCCTCAAGTCCTGTGGCTCTCCATGGAGTGAGCCATGATGGCCTCCTGTGAACCAGGCACAGAGTTCACCACCCCCCAGGACAAGATAGGAAGAATGCTGGTACATGACAATTACCACATCACAGCAATTCTGTAAGTTGTCACCGCCCCACTTTACAGAAGGGAAAGCTGAGGCATAGGGGTGTTGAATAACTTAACCAAGATCACACCGTTAATTGTCTGTGGTGCCTGTTCCCAACCACACTGTAGAACTGACAGCGGCACCCAGGTTAGCAACTGCTACTGAGAAGGTACCTGAAGCTACCAGGGGCTCCCTCAAGACTGCTGACCAAGATCAACCCTGTCAGGGCAGCCAGCAGCACCCTGACTTTAGTGAGATCCACACCCTTTTCTAGGAAGGTGAACTCACCCAGAATAATTGTGGAGTGAGCAGACAGTTGAAGCCGTGTTTAGCCTGGAGGTCCCGGGAAAGATGAGGTTCATGCAATGTGCCACTGATCCCGGATGAGCTCAGCTCACCTTTTCTGCCAATTTTTTTTTTTTTTTTTTTTTGGTTGCTGTTGTCCGTATTGTTTCTTGGGGGTATGGGGGAGGAGGAGCCATGGAGGTATTTCAAGAAAGGAGTCTGTGCAAGTTAGGGATAAGTTTTTATCTGGCACTGTGAGGACTCATGGCCACTCCCTCCCCTTGGTGCCATGATGGTTTGCTACACTCTTTCATTCCACCGGAGAAGAACATTCTAATCATAGAATGTTCTAGAAACTGAAGCCTGGAGGGATGAGAGGCAGTCAGCTGAATTTAGCCACCAGAGGGGGTGCTGGGTAGAGTTGTAGGAGATGCTACTTAGTGCATGATGGGCTTTCCCTGTTTGCTTAAGCAAAGCAACCCCAACCAAGTGCAGTGTGATGGTAATACCAGTGGTCATTGCTGTCAGGATTTCCAGGAACTGTGGCTTCAGATGCATCCAGCACTATGTGGGAGTTGATCTGGGGTTTGAACACTGAATGTCTTCATCGAGGAAAACCCTCAAGTTCCAGGCAAACTAGAAAACTGTTGGTCCCCTGTCTGGTGGGCTATTTGGCATTTCTCCCTCTCACCTTAGGTACAAAGAGCAGGTGACACATGGCTCATTGCTTGGTCCCACTCTGTGGTGAAAGGGCAGCACTCCGGCTCTGTAGTTTATAGGCATTTGTATGGCTCTGTTGGAGCTTTTCCATCTCAAGTACTATGTCAGTGGTCCTCTTCAGATCTGGCCTCTACTCAGCCATCCCCTCCTTCACACCCAGGAGCACCTGTCCAGGACGTGGCTCATCAGGCTCGTGGGGTGTCTGAGCTCCTCTGGGCAGAGCTGTCCCTTCCCAAGAGGGTTTCCTACCCCACCAGGGCAACTTGGCAGGAGAGAGCTTTTCTGGAAAAGCCTTGAGGGAGCTACTTTAGAGGTGTGGCTCCTTAACCCCTTCTGTGCCATGGGCTGCTCAGACATCCGGTGAATACTATACTGCATGCTTAGAATGATGTATGGGACTGCATCACGAGGGCTGCATATGGTGGTGCATGTCTTTAATTCCAGCATTCCAGATGCAGAACAGATAGGTCTCTGGGAGTTCAAGGCCAGCCTGGTCTAGACCTAGAGTTCCAAGACAGCCAGGTCTACATAGAGAGACCCTGCTGTGTCAACAAACAAACAAAAGAATGCATTTTGATGTATCTGTTAGAAGAGTGCTAGCCTGTACAGGGCACAAATGCATAAGCAATGCCTGATGTCCTATTTTTATCTCAGCACTTGGGAGGTGGAGGCTAGAAGACCACAAGTTCAAGGCTAGCCTGGGCTACATGATACCCTGTCTTGAAAATGAACAAACAAAAAAGTATATCTTTTTTTTTGCATTCTGACAAAATTCACGCAACAAAAACAGTTTAAAATGCAAGTCATCAAAGTATTCAAAAAGCAAGTTTGCAGCACCATCATATATACATTTCTGAGTTCAAATCCCTAGGACCCATATAAGACTGAATTCAGTGGCAAGCAGCTGTAGTTCAGTGTTCCTATAACAAGATAGGAGGAGATAGGAGAATCACCAGAACCTCCAGGCCCAGCTAGCCTGGCATACAGAGTATCTAACAAGAGGTCCTGTCCCAAGTAAGATGGAAGGTACAGACTGAGCTTGTGACATGTGTGTGCTTGCACACAACACACACACATAACACACACATACACACACACACATACACACACACAAAATTGGTTTTTAATGAGACTTAGGGCTGAGGGTAAGGCTTAATTAAGTAGTAGAGGGCTTGCCTAGCAATTGGGGTGTCCTGAGTTCCATCACAAAGTCTAAAAACAAGCAAACAGATATAGCAGTAAGCCCAATATGACTTTCAGAATGTTGATAGCTTAGGTCTCAGGATAGTTACAGCGACTATGGTAATATGGGATTATCTGATTTCTAGGGGGTGACAGAATCACAAAGACTTCAAAGGAAATATTGACTAGCATTCAAAGACCATCGACCATAAGTGTGGAAAGTGGATCCACCCCAGTGTCACAGGCTTCTCAAAACTCTGTTCTCAGTCTGTGTGGGAGCCAAGGAGTCACAACTTCAAGGAGAAAGGTTTTTGATTCTTTGGGACGGATGATGACAGCATCGAAGACTATGTGATCTAAAAGAGCGGTGACCAGGTAGGCTTGTCTTCAGAGGAGAAAGATTACCAGAAGGGAATGCTGGAGCTCAGAGCTAAGTCCATTCGGCACGGAGCGATGGAAGGCAACAGGACCAAACCTGAAACACAGCAGTAACATCAGAGCACAGCACCACCCCAGAGCACCACCCCTAGAGCAACACACTCTTTCTCCTCTGTCACAAAGAACACCAAGGCATTGTCCTGTGAGACAAGGTACCTGCCCACAAGCTTACCCACAAGCAGACAGGACGGATACACAAGTTAGTGACAAGACAACGGCAGTGAGATAAAAAAAAGATGTGGCTGGAAGAATCTAGAACATACCACATATCTGGTTAAGAGCTGACGGTGTAAGCCACAGGCATTCAAGGAAGTTTGTGCTGAGGACCAAAGGCCAGCATCTTTGAAAGCTGAGTAGAGCATGCTTTGAGATGGTGGTACTGCTCGGGTCTCAGTGACCTTCTCTGTAAACTGAGAATAATGCTTAGGTAGCTGCCTACTGTGTGCTAATGCTTACAGTGGGTTCAGGAGACAGTTGGAGATTGCAGGAAACACTGGCTGTAGGGTGGTAGGTGTGAAGACCACATGATGGACAGACGGATGGATGGATGGATGGATGGATGGATGGATGGAAGGATGGATGGATGGGTGGATGAGAGGATGGATGGATGGATGGATGGATGGATGGATGGGTGCGTCCTCCAAATAGGTGGTAATCCACACTGCAGCAAGGAATTTGGGAGAAATGATGGATAAATCCTCAGCTCTGGGCTCAGCTACGGCAGAGACTGTGACAATCTGTTGGTAGGTGACAGGAGGTGGTTAGTCAGGCTTTTGAGGACAAGCATGTTGGGAGGCTCATTGCTTTCACTTCCCCAGCCTAGCTCACAGCCCCGCTTCTGGGTTTGCCATGGACTAGCGGGCTCAAAGGCTGCGAGAAGCCCTGGACCGGCCTGGTAAGGGACAGGAAGGCAACCAAGGCCTCCGGAGGCTGGAGTAGGGGAGCTGATTTGCATGCATTTTCACACACTACGGTTGCCAGACTTTGCAGGCCACAGTCACCCGCATGCCTGAGAATCTGGGGCAGAGAAATTTGGGGCGCGGAGGGAGGGCAGGCAGGTAATCAAGCCCGCCTGGCAGACTTGGTGGTGGAGGGCTCCCCAGGAAGGGAAGTGAGCAGACCCAGGCCGTCCACCTTTTCAAGAGGCTGCAGCGCCCGGCTCTGTCGCGTTCCTGGGTGCAGTTTCGCAGGCTGACTGCGTTAGATTGTCTGAACCCCGCTAGGCCTGCAGCGCCGCACGCCGGTGAGGGTTTTCTGGGCCGTTGCTGGGCGGAGCCTCTGCTGGAGCCGAAAGGCGCCTCGCAGACGAGTGGCGCAGCTCGTGAGTAGGCGGAGTCCAAGGATCGATGGGCGTGGCCGGGGCTGGAGGCCTAAGAGCGGAGTCTCAGCGGGTGAAATCGCTGCAATGGGCGGAGGGGCGTGGCCTATGTCCGCAGAGGGCGGTCCAGACAAGGGGGCTAGGCCTTCGCCTATAGAGGGCGGGTCGGGCAGGGGCGTGGCCTTAGCCTGCATTGAGCCGCCAGGCGGGGGGTGTGGTCTGTGTCTGCAGAGGGCGGGCTCTGGAGGCGTGGTCTGTGCCTGCAGAGGGCGGGGCTCGCCGCAGAGGGGGCAGCGCCGGCGGAGAGTCCTCTGCGAGCCGCTGCTGCGGCCGGTCCACAGCAGCTCTGACAGTCGCGGCGCAGGCACCGGACCCCTCACCAGCCCCACGCCGCCACCGCGACCTCCAACTCGTCCCACCATCTCTCCCGACGCTGCGGAGCCGCCTCTGGCACCTAACACCACCCCGGCCGCGCTGGAGCCCGCGCCCGCCCTGGCCCGGCCGCGCCGGGAGCCCGGCCCCGAGCTGGAGCCGCATCTGGAGCCGCGGGCCCGGGGCCCTGAGCCACGCAGCCGGCGCATGGTCAACTCGCTGCTGTTCGGGGAGATGGCCTTGGCCTTCGGCTGCCCGCCGGGGGGCGGCGGCTGCGCAAGCGGCGGCGGTGGTGGCGGGGCCGGGCCGGGGCCCTCGCCAGTAACGGCGGCGCTGCGGGACGATCTGGGTTCCAACATCCATCTCCTCAAGGGGCTCAACGTGCGTTTCCGCTGCTTCTTGGCCAAGGTGCACGAGCTGGAGCGGCGCAACCGGCTCCTGGAGAAACAGCTGGAGCAGCAGCAGAGCGAGCGCGATCGGCGGCTGCGGTACAAGACCTTCTCCCGGGAGCAGGCCGTACAGACCGGGCCCGACCTGCTGCGACCGCCGGCTGCGGGCGGCGGGCAGGCCCTCGGCGCGGCCACCGGCGTCAACGCCAACGCGGTGGCCCTGGGCGGCCTTCCCCCCGGCGGCGGCTCGCACCCGCAGCACTACGGTCGCCTGCCCGGGACCATCTGGAGCTACACGCAGGTGCGGCGCACGGGAGGCGGCGGCGTGGAGACGGTGCAGGGCCCCGGCGTGTCGTGGGTGCACCCGGACGGCGTAGGCGTGCAGATTGACACCATCACGCCAGAGATCCGCGCTCTCTACAACGTGCTGGCCAAGGTGAAGCGAGAGCGTGACGAGTACAAACGGAGGTGAGTGGACGCGCCCCTCCTCCGCCGGCTGTCAGGACCCGCAGCAGGGCCTGGCATGTGGGCTGCGAACTGCGGGAAGACTAGGTCATCTAAATCCACGAGCACAGGGCGCGCGGGATACCTGGGTGCCGACCCCTGGGACCAGGCACATTGTTTCCCAGGGACGTAATAACCAGCGGACTTGTGGTGATCTCATTCTGTTCACATGACAATGCGGTGTGAGGCAGCCTTGTCCCCATATTATTGCAGATGAGGAAACTGAGTCGAAGAGGTACCAAGTGGCTTGCCCAAGGCGGCTTGGGTAATCCGCGGTGAAAGTCAAGACTTGATCCACTGATGGGAGTGATGGCTGGTGTGTCTCCTGGCCTAGGTATTGCCCGAGTTGTTGCTGCCAGATTCCCTTTCCCATAGCAGGTGTAAAGAAAAAAAAAAAAACTCAGCTAGCTCATTGTCATTTTTTTGTCCTTGAATTTAACGGGCTCACGTGTGAAGATGGATGGATCTGTCCGTAGGGCCCCGGGGTCGGCTATCTTGTTCCAGGTTTATAAGGCCCAGATCTCTACGCTGCAGAGTCAGAACCAAACACCGGCCTTTTAGAAATTCATCTTCTTCTTCATACTCTCCCAAGTCTCAGGACTAGGACTAGGACATAGGACTAGGTCCCATGAACACAGCCTAGGGAATCCCGCCCCCGCCAAGGAAGAGATACTCATGGGTTAGAATATGGCCGGACCCAGATCATGGGGTCCCGTTGGAGGACAGGGGCAGACGGCCTGCAAGATGGCCAGTGTATTCCTTGCAGTCCAGATCTCCTGGCTGCAGTACTGACATGTCTGCTTGACAGTACTGTCTGCTCGGCTTTCTGACACAAGGAGGGGAAGGGTCTGCCTGTAGGGCTCAGGTCTGTGGTGGGGGGAGGGGCCCTCTTGGTCTCAGGTTCCAGTCTCAGACCAGTGTAATTCTGGTTTTGTTGTCTTTGCTCATGAGGGAGTGGGGCCATTCCTTTCAATCCTAAACTCTCCCTGGAAGCTGGGCCTGGGTCTTCTCTGTTACCCTCTACTGAGGGATACTGCCAGGGAGAAGTCAGGTGCTAGCTCTCATCACCTGCAGCAGAGATTGTTAGCCACTTGGAAACCTATTTGCTCCTCAGGGAAATCTGGACTGCACGCAGCAGTCAGTGCTCCAGGGGAGAGTGGGATGACGGTCTTCTTGACGGTCATCAAGAAGATGTTATTACCGGTGATAGCAAGGAGTAGAAATGCCTGGAGCCTCCAGCGCTGCTGCAGGGCCTGGATTGCTGTGGGGGACGGAGGGAAATTCTTCTTTTTTTCTTCTGGTTTTGAGACTGTCCTGTGCCGTTTCTAGGGAGGCCACCTTCTGTCCTTGGTGGCCATCCCCATCAGGACAGACTAGGGAAAAGAGACACTTGCTTTGGATGGTGAAACTCGAGGAGGAGGGTTGGGCTGGCCCTCCTGTCTGCCACACTTGACTGTGTAGTCATGACACAGGCTTGCGCCGCGTTTGTTTAATTGTGTGTGTGCGCGTTTTGGCCCTGGCTACTAAGGTGATAGAGAGCCTGGGCCCGGGCTTCGAGAGGGATGGACTGTCATTGAGCAATGAAGCGCTCAGGTTGCACCCAGGGTGTGGGCTGTGATGTCAGCTTCTGGCACTGTCCTGGAATGAGCCGGCCCTGCTGAGACAGGTGGGGTGCGAGCATCTCTCTTCCCGCCTTTCTGGGAGGTTCCTGGACACCTTCCTTCCTTCTCTGAAGTTGCTTCAAAGCTTTGGATTGTTCCAAAGTCAGTATCCTGCTTTGCTCAGGCCTCGGTTTCCCTACCTGTGACAACAACTTGGTTCCTTGAAGCCCTGGGCTTTCTTGGTGATACTTTACGAAAAGCTTCTTGGGTAATGAATAAAAAACTTAACGAGGGCCTGTGAGATGGCTCAGCAGGTAAAGGTGCTTGCGGCCAAGCCTCGGGACCATAGTTCTATCCCTGGAACCCACACAGTAGACAGGGAGAGTCTGCTCTTACAAGCTATTCTCTGACTTCCACACATTTGCAGTGGCATGAATGCACACGCAACACACACGCACACACATACATAAATGTATTTTTTTTAAAAAAAAAAAACCCCAATACATCAAAATGCTAGTCCAGTCATGAACGTGTTCTCGTTTTGCTGATGCCAATATACCTGATCCCACCAGGGTGCTAACTCAAATCCTTGGCTTCCAGTTAAAGCCTCTTTCTTTGGAGACTATTGCCTGCTGACCAAGCAGGCTGCTTACGCAGATGCCTGCCTACTGAGGTTGACAAGATACTCTTGATTTTCTGCTAGTGGCCTAATCAATTGCATTCATCGAACCTAGAACAAGTTAATTTATGTATTTGGGTCTACAATATCGATACATACAGAAGAGTAATTCTGTTCTCACTGGCCGAGGCATGGAGTTTTCTTTCTGGAAGAAAGTAAGGGGACAGTTAACTTAAAAAAAAAATAAGGTTAAAAAGAAAATCTCTGGGCTACGTGATGTGAGAGGGGCTGCCGAGGCTTGTCAGTATATGACACTCCATGATAGATCACTTACCTAGCGTGCGGGGGTTGGGGGAGATATTCAGTTGCAAGAAGTAACTATATCTGAGCTGCCAGCCTATCTCTGGTTCTTTGACTACTAAGATGTCACAGGTCAAGAGATGCGTCCAAGATGTTTGACTGCCTGGTCTCTAGACTCATGGCTTCCTGGGGTGTCTAGTGTGGAACCCCCATGTGGAGTACCAGAGACGACTTGGCTGGAGAGGGAAGGGCTCCAGGGTTCTCTACATCAATTCAGAGGACCTCAGAGGCTCCTGCTTGCTTCACTAAATGGTAAGCTGGCTGTATAGCCAGATCTAGAAGCTGCAGGTGTCTGTGGTTCTGTCTCATGACTCGTTCCTAGCCCTGTGTACCTGTGGTTTCCTTGTTTCGATGAGGTAGAATCAGTCCATCTTAAAGCCACTCAGTTTAAGTATAGCAATTGTTTTTAGAAAACGTAGGGCAAGGTACCCATCTCCAGGGTCTGGTTTTAGAACACTCGAATCCCCCTAAAATTTCCCATTCATTTCCAAACAGCTCCCCTCCGGAGCAGTCCCGGCCGGTGTCTCTGCCCATTTGATTTTTCTGGATGACTCAGAAGCTGGATTCCATGATATGTGGTCTTTCATACCTGACTTTTTTTTTTTACACAGGCAGTGTTTTAGGGGATGTGCTGCTGTGCTTGTGTGTATCTGTAGAAATTCCCTCCTTATTGCTAAATCACACATACGGATGAGCATGGCTTTGTCTGTTCCTTCACCGTACATAGTCTTGGGATCCAAGTTTTAAGTCACCCGAGTGCCATCTGATGTGGTCTACCATCAGCTACACCCGGCTGGCTCTTGGTGCACACCACCCAGAGCAGAGCTTCTGGCCCCAGAGTGCCCCCGCCCTGGCTCTGCTCACTGCGCCTTTGGTTTCTCTTTGACCCAACCTGCTCTTTACGGCGTGGGAAGTGTGGTCACCGAGACTGTATGGAGGGCAAAGTTGTGAAGCGTTGATCTGGAAACCAAAACAAACATTGCTTTCTGTCACCACCCAGTCCACCATGATCTCTTGTTCTGAGTTTGCAAGTTGGGGGCTTTCTCCGGGAAGAGTCCTGTCAAAATATCTGAACTTTAAATACATGCCTTTTCTGAATTAGCCTCTGAGGGACCTGAACCCCCTTGGGGGATCCCTGGATCTGTGTCATGGCTGAGTTTTTTACCCCTTCAGATGACCTTGTGTCTATCGTGCTTTCTATAGGTTCTGGGCATCCTGTCTCCCGTTTCTGTTTTGGGTGATCAGAGTCTATACCATGACATGTTCCTACGAGAGCCTCTTTCATTTATTGGAGGAGGATGGGTCACTTTATGGTTGTCAAGCAAAAGTTTTATGTAGGGCCCACTGGTTGTCACGGGGAAGTTGATACCGCCATTCCAGGAAGTAACAATTACTGGTACAGGCAGCCCAGCTGCCTGTCATGCAGGGTGACTTTCTAGTGTCCCAGGTTCAAAGCCACAAGCCCCGTAGGCCCTCTGATTATGGGCTGGCCAGCTTTCTACCCTTGCTGCAGGTAGACAGGCGTGCTTCTGGTTGGCTTAGTCCTTGGTGTTTGGGGTGAGTGGAGGGCTGTCAGAGCATCTGAGGGACCTTTGTGGTCTTTTGACTTGGTGGATTTCAAGTGGGCCTCTCAGATTCCGAGAACCCACAGTAAGGTGCTTCATGGGTGAGTCTGGGGACAGTGGGAGGCTGAGCCCCAGACATCTGATCCGTGCCAACCACATGCTCTTTTTTCCATTATTCTAAAGGATAGTCTGTATAGAAACAGGTTTGGTATTGATAAAAGAAACCACCAATTCAGCTGTGTGCTTTCATGTCAGAGGTGGAGAAACTGAGGCCCGGGGGATGGGGTTAGGGAGGAGCTGCCATCCACAGCTGGCTTTGGGAAGCCCTTTTAACTGACACTGTTCTCATCCTAACTCTGATGTGATGCCCACATCTGCCTCCAGCAGGGCCTTCTCAAAGGCTTTCCACCTTCTCCTGCTGCTGCTGCTGTCAGAGGCTTTTTAAAAAGCTCGTTCCTAGGATAGGAGGGACTTCTGTCACCACTATTTCTGACCATGAGAAGGAAGGGGCTGGGCTCTTAGCTAAAACGGAGGCCTCCAAAAAGGGATGTTAAGTGGGCAGCTGGAGCGTCCCTGCCTTTCCCAGCATGCCCCAGGGAGGCCCTCCAGCAGGTGGGTACTGGCCGTTTAGTACCCCAAGCCCCAAAGACTGTCTCAGAAGATTGTCCTTAGGCCTCTGACACTTTTTAAATTCCCGAAGCTCCTAATAATAGGGTCCTTTAATAACAGGGGTTTTCATTTCTCAGTGAGGTGCCCTAGGATGATGAGAAAGTGTTCGAATCCTGACTCTGTTCTGGCTGACCATGGGTAAATCTCTTG